AAAAAAGCGCTTTCGACAAAATACTAAAATAGAGATCTATCGACAAAGACTACTCACTTCTGCCTAGCTTATGCTATCTCTGGTTATTTCAGTTTCCGTTTTTAAAAGCGCTATATGTTGAGCCATCTCAGCTAGATTTGGCATGTGACATTTTTAGCGGCAATCATTGGTCGATTTTCTAGGGTTGCCATTCGGGGAGTTGTAATGAGGCTTTTTTTGTCGCCGTGTAAGAGAAATATATATATAGATTGGAGGAACATTGTACTCCCGAATTCATTATTACGAAATATCACAAATAAAAAAAATATTGAAATGAAGCTTTTTTAGTGTCTCCCTTTATCAGAAACACTTGGTCAAAATTAAAGATTCCATCTTGGTGGCAAACTTAGAATCAGAACACATTTCAATTGGGTTAATTTCACCCTAATTACCCCGATAACTTCGAAATGAGATTCTTTCAGTTTTTCTTTACATCTGATAAAGAACACGTGATACAAATTTTAAAATTGTCATAGTGGCTAACTCTTGTTTACGTATATTTCAAATGGGGTTAATTACGCCTAAATATACCATTAATCACGAAATATTAAATATTAAGTAATTCCTGTTTGTCTTATAAATATATTATCCAACTTTGACCCATCTTTGTTGGTATAGTTGGTTTTATAACTGCAATACCGGTAGTATTTAATACCCCATTTAATTAAGCATCATTGAAGCCAACTATAGTTTGGCGATTTTTTACAGCCATCGAAGTAAGTACTGCAATTAGTTCGCCAATAATGATTATTATGTATTAGTGTCCTTACCAATACAATTAAACTTTGGTAATTGGTACAAGTTGAAATAATAAATACGTTTCATCTTAAAAAAGTAATTTAATGCAGAAAAGGTTTTTATTCTTACATAAGAATCCTAAAAAATTGCATTAATGTTATTGACACTAATGATGATGATATTGGTGATAGGTACAAATTGAAGCTACTAAATATGTAATTTATCTTTATTTCGATGGGATGAACTTTTAAAAACATTTTTTGCTTAGTGAGACCCCTACCCACGCTGAGGGGGTGTTATGTACGCCACTGTCGATAGAGTTAATTAACATTTAATTTCAGATTCCCCAATATTCAGTTATTAATAATTGCTTATGTGTGTGGTGGGTTGTGCTTGGGCATTACCCAGGACCCCACATTCCTAATGAGTAGTTTCGAGAGACTGGTGAGCTCAGCAAACAGAGGGTGGGTCAAACTAATAAATTTAATAAAACCTTTTTAATTTTAGTCACGTGAGTATTTTTTCTACAGCAGTCTACAGCAATCTCTCACAGAAAAATGTAATTTTTTTAACCTAATGAAAATAATAATAAGCGATAACTAATTTTACAACTTCGTAACTATTTTCGATAATAATATAGATCAGCGGTGGCGAACCTTTATGCACCAATTTGCCATTTTTTCAAAAAATTGTTTAATGAGGTTATAGACGTGCCGTCAAACAATTTTGACTTCGTGAATATTGGGAAAATAATAATACTAAATACTATCGACTCAAAACTCTATATTTACTATGAAAAAAAAATACATTTTGCAATGTCTCAGTTATACGCGTAATTCAACTTAAAGCAACATCAGTGTGACTTCTGTTGTTGCAGATTAGATGAATAGCTTATATTAGGTTGTAAGATGTTAGTTTAAGCTGGATTGTTAAATTTTTTTTGCTAGATATTTATTGTTAGCTTGTTTTTTTATGGTTATTAATTGTTTTTTGGAATTAATTGTAAATAGTTTTGTTAATAATTTTTTTTTGTGAATTTCAATTTAATTGTTAATATGCTTTATAGTGAACTTTGTGATCGGTGGCGTGCCCAGAATATTGTGTCACGTGCCATAAATGGCACGCGTACCATTGGTTCGCCATCCCTGATATAGATGAACGCCTCAAAACAGAAAACTGATTTTTTTATTTTTTTATCTTGTGATAATTGAGTGTGGGCGCGACTTGTTTTCGAGCGTCCGAACCATTTTGAAATTTTTTCTTAATATTGCATCGAATTTATTTTTATGTATATTTACTAAAAAAGACTGAAATTGAATATGCATGTGACAAAAAATAAAAGTTGAAAAATATCGATTGCCAAATCTTTAAACCACTTTTAAAAAAAAAATTAAAACGAAAGACAAAATAGCGAGGCAGCTAAAAACCTATTTCGTGTAACATTTAAAAACGGAAGCAAGACGAAACAAATAAATGTTCACAGTGACTTTAATCTCGTAAATAACCAACAGTCACGGTTGCATTAGAGATAAGAGTAATTTATGCAGTATGTAAAACATAATTTGTTCATTGGGCAGAACATTACAGGCATTTTAATTCTTAAGAACTTAAAGAGTCATAAATTTCATGAATCCCGTAAGCTTATAAGCAAACCATACCGCTGATTGGAAACTTGGCTGTTTCAGTTGGAATTGGCGATGATAACGCGTAAATGTACTAAAAATAAAAGAAATTACATTAAACCGCAATGCGATGCTCATTTTCCCCTGCTCGACTAGCCATGATGAATAAAATATATAAATAAATTAATAAACGCTTCTGCAGGT